GCTTATTAGTTTGTTGCTTGTAAGTGCTGTTGAGTCGTAGACGACTCATAGTAACCCTATGAATGAAAGTCCTGAACATGCATAACTTCCATCGTTTCTCTAAGTTCATAGAGTTTCCAGAGGGAAGCTATTTTGAAAGTGGATACCACTCCTGCTTCCAAGCCTGCTTGGAAATACTGTCCACCATGGGTAACCTTATCGCATTTGACACATCAGTAGTCCAGCTTAAATCACCATTATTAAACTAGGTGTCATGGGTTAGGTTGAACAGTGGCTCTCCAAAGCCATACCCATGTCTTAATCCCTGAAATCGGTGGATGTTATTCAATCTGGGAACAAGGTGTCTTTAGGTGAAGAATTTGGGATGAGGAGCCCATCCTGGGTTATCTGGAGATGGTTGGTGGTTGCTGGTTGCCACTGCACTGATCCTGACTCACAGTGCACAGGGCAGAATTGTTCCATATGGGTTTGATAACGATGCCGTTTTTCAGGTCTGTGATCTTTCCCAGCTTTTCACCAGGTCTGGCTCCTGAGGCATTTCTGGGTTGGCTCAACTACTGATTCATTCTGCTTATAGTCAAGTGCTAAACCATTTGCTTGGATTATCCGAGTGGGTCGTAAAGCCAATGATAAGTGTGCTTGTAAGAGAAAGGTAGGGTTGGGGGAGATGAGGCAGCCAGAGGGAGGAGGAGGAGAAACACATAGAGACAAGGGGATATGAGATGGAGGCAGATTGGGGTGCTGTGACAAAACTCTAAGGAAGCAGGAAGCTGGGAGAGGGACACAGATTCTTTCCTGCAGTCTCTAGAGGGTGGGCCACTAGAACTGAGAGAATCAACTTTTGCTCTTTAAGTCACCATGTTGTTGTGTGTGCGTTCAAGTAGGCACTGACTCACAGCTGACCCTCCAGTGGGTTTTCAGTGGTAGTGAATCACACAAGAAGAGACTGCCCTTCATTGTCCAGCAGAGCGGATGGTGGATTCAAACCGTGTTCCTCTGGGTTGTGAGTGTAACGTGTCACCAGTAGGCCAGCAGAGCTCCCCATACTTAAGTTGCCATATGTGTGGTAATTTGGATGGCAGCAACAGAAAACTGAAAAGAATGACTTTATGACAGTTTCATCTGATTTAAAGGTAAAAATAATATTAGGATCTTGTTTTTAAAGAGGTTTAAATAATCTCATCACAACTCAATAAAGTTAAAAAAGCCCAATGGACTTCTGGTTAAAATTCCCTCCATGTTATAGATGGGAAATGAAGGCAAAATATCTCAGGTGACTCTTGGTGAGGAAGAAGATTGGCTTCCAGCCTGGCATGGTTTTCACTGAAGATCAGTGTCTCAACACACACATTCCACAGACAGTGCTTGATATTTGCCTTTACTTTAGAAAAATACACAACTTAAATACATATGGCACTCTCTATACAAGACATAAACAACTGGTAGATAACGTTTTCAGTATTTTAACAGAAATAGCAGAAAGCAAATATGTTAATTTTTTTATAAGAGCAAAGGGTTTATAGACTCTGCATTCACAGTCGAAGCTGGGGGGCAGGGGGATGACCGGAAAGCCACTGCTGTGGGACGCTTATAAAACCACCCAACTTTCCAATAAAAGTCACTTCACCAACAGGGCCTGTATTGCACAGTTTCATATTGCACTGCTGTGAGACACAAACGAACGTATCCACATCACAACACTTAATGGAAGAACAGAATGTACAAAGAGCACTGCGTTTTACAATGGTACTAAATACCACTTACGATAAACATGACGTCTTGGCTTTGCCACTGAAGGTGCTTGGCTCTATTCTGCAGCTAAATTAACTTTTTTCTAAAGTTTTGCAGAAATGGTGGCAGATGCCAGAGCGGACTGAAGTGTGTGCAGCAGGAAGGGAAACAGCATCGCAGCACTGAGCTACTTGTGAGAAGGACACTGTCAGAGACAACAGGCATGCACTACAACTCTACCCATTGCCCGACCAAGATACTCCCTCATGCTCTTGATGCTGTCATTTTTCCTAGAGGAACAGCTACTTCATGACGGACTAAGAGCTGCTTTCTTTCAGAAATGTACCTTATCTATATGGCTCATTTAACTAACAGTGAACAGGTGCTTGTTTATAGGTATAAAGAAACATTGACAAGCTGAGAACGCAATGTATCAGAACTTGAGAGGAACTTCCTGAGGTAAATGCAAGCCTTAACAAATGAAGTGCAATCTATACAATTACAGCAATTAATCTTGGGTAGCAGCACAATGACCCCAAGTCTGAACTTTCAAACTAACAGGTGAGCAAAACTAAGGACACGTTTATATAAAGAAATCAAACTATGCTGAAATAAAGGAAATAGTGACAGGTAAATGGCAATGAGAACATGCATTCAAAAGGAGGCACAAAAGGGGGAACAGAGGAATAAAAGGAAGGAGTATTTTAAAGTGCTTAAGTAGGTTGGACTAGGAATGTGAAATGTCTCCAGGGATTCCTAAACGAGTTTTAAGTGAAACTTCTTGGTGACTCACATGTGGAAGAAATGGCTTTTCTTTTATAATAGCTGTTCAAACTTTTTTTTTTAAAAAAAAACAAGCCAAGATTTTTTAAAAAACTTTTGAGCCAGTTGTTCTTCTCTCTGATATATTCTGAAATCCTAACAGGACTAAGAATTTTAGTAAGCTTGAACTACACAGTATATGCTGCACCAAGAATTTAATGCATAGAGACTGAGAATTTTTGCATGGAGTTAGGACTTAAAAATTTTTCATTGCAAACCATGCTTTATAATGTCATTAATTTAAGGATTATGGAAATAAGAAAAATTCTAGGGCCTTATAGCTTAGTTTTCTTATTTTCTTTCTTTTACTTGATAGTTTATGGTGACTTTTACTGTTAAAAATGATGGTGTCTATAACAGAGTCCCAAGGCCTAAAAATAAAGATCTAAATTTCAACAAGATATAGCCTCATGATGCAAGGACATGAGCAAAGCAATAAAGAACTCTGCTGTAACTGCTCATCGGCACAATGAAACATGGATGAGGAGACCAACCTAATGCTTCATAAAGTGAGGAGAACGGACAGCAGCTTGCCATACAAGGCCATATGTGCATCTGTGAGATGTGGGTGGACACCACGGCGCATGACCAGCTCATGCAAATGACTCCTAAGATCTGCTGCAAGAGGCAGTTTTGTGTTTGATTGCTTTAGACATAAGAGCCCCTGGGAAAAGTGAGGTCCAGAATAGCAGTCTTGCACTCCCAGACTCCAGTTCAAAGGACAGAGGAAAATCCCACAAATCATCATCAGGTATCAGATTCCAATACATTATAAAGTACTTTGAGAATTACCAAGCTGAAAACTTGGGACTTGACCTGCATGTGCTGTTTATTGTAAGCCAGTCAGCTTGATCCAGTCCTAGGACAGCTATGAAGCCGCTATGGAGAGGGGGAAAATGCAAAGACTCTGTGGGACTGGATTATAGGAAAGTTGCTTTACTTCTTAAGTGGTAAAGTGTTTGGTTTAGGGGGTTTGGTGATTAATGTAGGATACCTGTTTATAAGTCACAGGACATTAACATTTCGCCTAAGTTAAAGCCCCAACTAACGGAATGGAAAAGATGAATAATGTAATCAAAGTGATGATTAATGGCTCAAGGAGTGAGAATGCTGACCTTACAGCCTATGGAAAGGGAAAAATAATAACCTTAATACTTGATATCTGTAGGTCAAAAATATTACTAATTAGAAATCTGAAGCACAAGCAGAAGAGAAAGAGGTTCTTCCATATGCCTGCACACATGCCTTCACAGCCTTCCTCCACACCCCCCGAAGAGCCACACTGGATCCCGGTTAACCAAGCCCAGGTCTACAAGGAAGGATGGAGGTGGCACTGGCTGCAAGTGAAGGGCTCAAGAAGAGAGAAAATGATGGCAGGTGTCAGGTAAAACAGAACAAAACAGAAGAAGAGAAAGAAAACAAGAAGGGGGAAAGGAAGACGTCAACCCTGATGGAAAGGGTCCAGCTTGCTGAGTGGCTCCCCGACCTTCTGTGGCAACTGATGCTGACATAAGGAAAAGTACAAACTTCCTATAAGGACTTGCCTAGTGCCTCAAACAAGGCCCCTAGGTTGGCACGTCCTCCTCAGGATGTCTGGATGATGCCCGGGTGTGACAGAAGTTACTTCTGTCTTGGGATCTGAGTCCTGCTTCCTGGGGGCATACTGTTCCCTGGCAACAGTTCCACAACTAGGGAAATGCCTTGCATCCAGGGTGCAACTAGCAGCAGTGGCTGACCCAGAATCTGTGGCTGTCACCGCCCTGTCTCTCTCAGGTGGTGGCCTGGCCTGTCTCTCCCCCTGGTGGTTGGAGACGGGAACAGAGTTGATGTCATAAAAGGTGCTTCAATTTCGAATGTAACTGCTTCATTTCACAATCTAAGCAGGGCTGCCAGGAATTCGCTAATTAGAGATTAAGGGTTACAATACTACTCAAGGAAATCACTGTAAAGGAAGCAACCTGCCTGTAAGGTCAAACCAAAAACATTCATAAGTTTTGATACTGTCTACTTCCATTTGTGTTGTCTTTTATGATACAGAGTTTGATGGTTTTGTGTTTGTGTGTGTGTGTGTGTGTGTGTGTGTCTGTGTTTTAAAGGTAAAGGTGCTTTTATCTTCTCCAGAAACCTCACAAACTTTCTTGAGCAAAGTGCCTAATTACAGAGCTTACAAATGAGTAAGAGGGAAAAAAAAGTCAATTATCTAGAAGCACTAACTGAATCTGGGTACAGTGAAGCTTACGCCTCTCCAATTCATACACATGTGGGCCATTTCTCTGCAAAATGTCCAAGAAATGTGATGGGCACCTAAGTTCTTGAGATGTAAAAGACAATTAGCATGTGAGTGAAAAAAGCAGTAAGATTCTGAGGAGGCAAACCCCACGCTGGTTATTTCACCTCGGGGGGACGGTCTGCGTGCACGTCATGTGAGTCTCACACTTATCTTCATGCTACTTGATGTTCTTCAGGAGTGCTGTCCGGGCATTCACGACTGCTTTGAAAGCATCTTCACTGCCAGGGGCAACACATTTGTCTGGGTGAAGAAGCACAGCGAGCTTCCGGTACGCTTTATTGACTTCGTCCCTAGGAAAAGGAGCAAAGCACTAAGTCAGGGAACAGCACCATCCCCACTCCACTGCAGTTTAGCTCTTTCAGTAAGGACACTGGAAGTCATCATTATCCCTTCTCAAAGGTGGGACTAAAACATCTGGAGCCAACACATCAAACAAAAAGTATGTAACATAAAAACTAAAACAACAGCAACAACAAACTAACGCAATGTAAAAGGAATAGAAAAATCCTAGGGAAACAATAAGGGTATGATCAGATTAAAACAGTGATTGGTACCACAGGAATTTTTAATCACTATTATATGAGTACAGACAGGACATATCCCTGGTGTACACCCTTCCCAATTCTGAACCATGCAGTGTTTCCTTGCTCTGTTCTGACTACTGTCTCTTGGTCCAAGTATAGGTTTCGCATTAGCACAATTAAATGTTCTGGGATTCCCATTCTTCTCAGAGTCAGCCACAGCTTGTTATGATCCACACAGTCAAATGCCTTTGCATAATCAATTGAGCACAGATATACATTCCTCTGGTACTTCCTGCTTTCAACTAAAATCCATCTAACATCAGCTACAATATCACTAGTACCACAACCCCTTCTAAACCCAGCCTGGACTTCTGGCAGTTCTCTGCTGATGTGCTGTTCTAATCGTTTTTGGATAATCTTCAGTAGAATTTTGCTTGCATGTGAAATCAATGATATAGTTTCCACACTCTGTTAGGTCACCTTTCTTTGGAATGGGAACAAATATAGATATCTTCTAGTCAGTTGGCCAAGTGGTTGTTCTCCAGATTTCTTGGCACAACTTGGTGAGCACATCCGGGGCAGCATCTGTTAGCTGAAATATGTCAATTGGTATACCATCTATTCCTGGGGTCTTATTTTTTGCTATTTCTTTCAAAGCAGCTTGAACTTCTTCCTTCATCACCATAGGCTCTTGCTCATATGTTGTTTCATTAAATTCTTCTGTGTCTGCCAATTCTTTTCGATACAATGACTCAGTATATTCTTTCCATCTTGTTTTGATACCTCCTGGATCATTTAGTACTCTGCCTAAAGCATCTTTGATTATAGCAACTCTAGGTTTGAATTTGTTTTTCAGTTCCTTGAGCTTAAGGAATGCTGAGCAAGTTCGACCCTTTTGGTTTTCTGACTCCAACTTCTTGCACATTTCATTGTAATACTTTACTTTGTCATCCCACGCTGCCTTTTGAAATCTTCTGTTCAGCTCTTTAGTATCTTGAATTCTTCAGTGGTGGAAGATCTATCAACAATCTGCGTTATGCAGATGACACAACCCTGCTTGCTGAAACTGAGGGGGACCTGAAGCGCTTGCTGCAGAGGGTCAAGGACTGCAGCCATCAATATTGATTGAAGCTCAATATCAAGAAGACAAAGATTCTCACCACTTGAGATTGTTCACAGCTTTAGTCTGCTTGGCTCCACAATCAACACTCTTGGCACTCGCAGCCAGGAAATTAAAAGACGTATTGCGATGGGAAAGTCTGCTGTTAGGGACCTCTCTAAAGTACTTAAGAGCAATGGTGTGTCTCTGAAGACTAAGGTGCATCTGGTACAGGCCATGGTCTTTGAAATAACTTTTTATGCGTCAGAGAGCTGGACAATGACTAGGGAGGAGAGAAGGAGAATTGATGTTTTTGAGCTTTGGTGTTGGAGAAGAGTGCTGAGGGTGCCATAGACTGCTAAGAAAACAAACAGATTCATCCTGGAGAGGGTTAAACCGGGCTGCTCCTTGGAGGCAAGGATTCTGAGACTTCGTCTGACATACTTTGGTCATGTTGTAAGGAGAGACTGGTCCTTGGAGAAAGACATCATGCTTGGGAGGGTGGAGGGCAGGCGCAGGAGGGGAAGGTCCTCTGGGAGGTGGATTGATTCGGTGACTGGGGTAATTGGGATGAGTGTGTCGGAGACAGTGAGATTGGCACAGGACAGAGCAGAGTTTAGAGCTGTTGTACACAGGGTCACTATGAGTCGCAAGCGACTCGACGACACATAACAACAACAACAACAATTATATGAGTGCAGGATTGGTCTCTGCATCCAGGCTACTTTGTTTGGAGCCACAGTCTTTGCTGACTGAAGGAATGAGTGCACAGGGCAATCAGGGGAGGCCCCGAAGAAGATGGGGGTCAGGGTTAATACAGCAGTGGGGACACAGAGCTCCCTGGGGAAAGAGAACTGACAGAGGCTGAGCACAGGACCTGCAGACAGCATGCAGTCCTGTGAGGAGTAAGCAAAGGGCTTTGCAAATAAAATAACAGAAAAAAATTGGATTAGAAATAATAAGAGTAATTAATAATAATAATAATAGGTGTTTCATGATATAGTGGTGTTGGTAAGATTTTTTCTGAAGCTAGGACACTGATAAAGGGTAGTTATAGCAGTAACACAGGGATGAGGTACAAGAGTTTATATTAAGGTATTTGTAAGAAGCAATCAAAGAAGATCAGGGAGGAAGAATATAAGGGGGAAACTGGCAGAAGTTAGTGGGTGTACAGGCCAAGTTGTAACAGAGAGGGGATGAAATGAGTCCCAGCATCATGAGAACTGAGGTGCAGGGGAAGATAGGCTGAGAAGGACAGAGACTCAAAAAGCAACAGGGGAAAGAGATCACTGTCCACAGAGGAAAGGATCAGGAACAATGTTTCTCCAAAGTTCAACAAGTACTAACTGCAAACTCGCAGAGGTCTAGAGGCTTCAGTTGCTCAAGTGAGTGGAAAACTGCTCTGGAAAGTGTCTGGAGACTATTATATCTTCTCCCTGTTCTCCAGTCATCCTCTGCTGTCAGATCTTCTAGCCCGCCCAAACTGAAGAGTGTCCAAGTACCCAGTCACTTCCTGGTAGACTGAACTCGGTCTCAAGAAGAAACTTTTATTTTCCATCTTCTCTTTGTAACTCCGGGTTCCAGTTATAAGCATGGGTATGGTGCTTCTCTAAATTCTTAAGGTTTCTTCTTCTTCTTTTTTTTTAATTTCAAGAATTTCCAATAGATCTCGCCAAATGAATGAGATGGTCTTTGATACTTTGGCTGTCACAGAAAGTCTTCTACTAGCCTGGAGTGATGTCGCAGGGCTGTGTTAACACACATCCATGTTTAGGCATACAAGTCCCTGTGCTCATCAATACAGAGAAGAACCGGCTTTCAACAGTTGGAACAAGACTGTTTCTTTCTGTTATAGAAAACCAGGGCTTCTGCTCTCTGCTCTATAGTGGTGTCCTTTTGAATTTCCTTGCTTTTAACTCAGTCTGTAGTTTTTATCCATAGATAATTTGAGTGTTAAGTACCATCAAATAGACTACAACTCACAGCGAACTGATGAACAACAGATCTGAACTCGGTCCTGTGCTGACCTCATTATCTTTGACACACTTGAATCTATTGCTGCAGTCTGTATATCAAGCCATCTCGCTGAGGGTCTTCCCTTCTGCTGACCCGGCACCTTTCTAAGCATGATGTCCCTCCCCAAAGAACAGCCTCTCCTAGAAGCATGTAGCTGACAAGTCATATTCTTCCTTTATAAAGATACTTATTTTTCCAAAAGACCCTTTGTCTTTTCTCTTCCCAGTGAGTGAGTCCTGGGCATGGACCCTCTAACAACTCTGCTTCCTGCGTGAGGATGCTCACAAAGGTTAGTGGTTAGGCTCTGTTCTCTGCCCAAAGTGCCTTTCAAGAGTTTCAGGTTGTAGAATACACACCCTGGAGAATATCTGGAGAAACAAGACTGACTGAAGTATGTAAGGAATATTATCAGTTCTGTTGAAGATGAAGATTTTCTTAAAATTTAAGAACTGTAAACATAGCATTGAACAAACATGAAAACTAACTTAAGGGGGAAAATGCTATTAAAGAGATGCAAATCAAAATGAAGAGATGACATCTCATCACATCAATAATAGCAAAACTAAAAATCAAACAAAACCAAAAACCAACAAATGCTGGCCCAGGTGTAGAGAGACTGGAACACTTATACACTGAAGATGGAACTGTAAAATGGAACAGCCACTGCGGAACCTGGTATGGCACTTTCTTAAAAAGTTAGAAACAGAGACATTGTATGATCCAGCAGCAATCCCACTCCTAATAATATATATCCTAGAGAAATAAAAGCAGTGCCATGAATAGAAAATGATTTCTATTTTGCCCAGTTATGCAGATGACACACCCTGCTTGTTGAAACTGAGGAGGACCTAAAACGCTTGCTGCAGAAGGTCAAGGACTGCAGTCTTAAATATGAATTGAAGCTCAACATCAAGAAAACAAAGATACTCACTACTGGGCTGACTGCAGCCATCATGACAGATGGTGAAGAGATTGAGATTGTTAACTTTAGTTTGCTTGGCTATACAATCAATATTCTTGGCTCCAGCAGCCAGGAAATTAAAAGATGTTTTGCACTGGGAAAGTCTGCTGTCAGAGACCTCTTCAAAGTACTGAAGAGTAATGATGTCAGTCTGGAGACTAAGGTGTGCCTGATAGAGGTGTGATACATGGTCATTGCAATTATTTGCTATGGATCAGAAAGCTGGACAATGACTAGGGATGATAGAAGGAGAACTGATGCCTTTGAGTTGTGGTGCTGGAGAAGACTACTGAATATATCACGGACTACTAAGAGAACAAACAGGTTTGTCCTGGAGAGGATAAGACCAGGCTGCTCCTTGGAGGCAAGGATTCTGAGGCTTTGTCTGACGTACTTTGGTCATGCTGTAAGGATTTACCAGTCCTTGGAGAAGGATGTCATGCTTGGGAGGGTGAAGGGATAGAACAGGGTATAGGGCTATTGTATATAGGATCGCTATGAGTCGCAGGCGACTCGATGGAACATAGTACACAGAACAGACTCAGTGGACAAAGTTAGAGAAGTACAAGCTCATGTTGGTTAAGAACAGGGAGGTTGTGGAAGTTTTGCTAAATTCCAATCAACTACAGGAAACAAAATTTCCTCTGTTATGAGTATTATGCTAGGTTAATTTGTAAATCCATATAGTAATAGTTTCTTAATTTTAGAGTATCATTGGAGAGGAAATCAATCAATGTAGGATGAGACTACAGAGATCAGAAGAGAAATTTAAAACACACCAATGAGCTCTGTGCTGTGCACATGAGGTCACGTGAATTCCTCCAGGTCCTCAGTTATGCCTGGCAGGTCGAGAGTAACCAGTGATGGTCTTCTTCCTTTCCCCACTTTCCACCCAAACTTTTCAAGATGAGGTTAACGTGGAACAGAGAAACTTACTGTTTTTTGGTGCTTACAAGGCAATTTTAAGAAATACTTTATTCTGTGAAGATCAAAGTGAAAAAGTATAAAGAAGTATGAGGAAAAAAGCTGGGGTTAAATGAAAAAACCCTGGTAATGTTATACATTACAATATGTATAATAATGGTAGTACTCTAAATACAATCATAGTGAATAATAACATATTTTACACAAGCAACAAAGAATAGTGGTTGTATTTCTTTTCCTCTTGTAATTATTTTGGTAGAAAAGTAAGGGGCTAAAATAAAATAATTTACCATAAATACACAGAGGAAAACAGCAGGACTGTGTTTGTGTGTGCATATTACAGACAGACAAGAGACACACAGACAGACACTAAGTGCTCAAATGTTTCAAGGTCAAGAGCCAATTCTATCATTCCTGAAAGTGTGTTGATGCTCACTGAGTTCTGGTTTTTCCATTTATAGAACGGAATATTTTGACAAGTTGCTTGCTAACACCCTTCCCTCCTCTAAAACTCTATGATTTGAGAATTTACTTTTTTGTTGTTGCTATGTGCTGTCAAGTCACTTGCGACTCATAGTGACCCTATGTACAACAGCCCTATACCCTGTTTTATCCTGTGCCAATCTTACTGTCTCTGACACACCAACCTCTATTACCCCAGTCACTGAATCAATTCATCTCATCGAGGGTCTTCCTCTCTTGCTCTGTCCCTTCATCCTCCCAAGCATGATGTCCCTCTCCAAGGACAGTTCCCTCCTTGCAATATGTCCAAAGTATGTCAGACGAAGCTTCAGAATTCCTGCCTCCAAGAAGCCTGGTCTCGCGCTCTCCAAGATGAACCTGTTTGTTCTAGCCATTCATGGTATATTCAATACCATGTATATTCAATACTGTTCTCCAGCACCCCAGCTCAAGGGCATCAATTCTCCTTCTATCATTCCTAATCATCGTCCAGCTTTCTGATGCATAGCAAGCAACTGCAAAGACCATGGCCTGAATCAGGTGCACCTTAGTCTCTAGACTGATATCATTGATCTTTAGTACTTTGGAGAGGTCTCTGACAGCCGACTTTCCCAATGCAGTAAGTTTTTTAATTTCCTGGCTACTGGTACCCTGAGTGCTGACTGCGAAGCCAAGCAAACTGAAGCTGTTAACAATCTCAATCTCTTCACCATCTATCATAATGCTATAATTGGCCTAGTGGTGGGAATCCTTGTTTTCTTGATGTTGAGCTTCAATACATATTTAAGACTGTAGTCCTTGATCTTCTGCAGCAAGCACTTCAGGACTTCTTTGGTTTCAGCAAGCAGGGTTGTGTTATCTGTTGTAATACAGATTGTTGATGAATCTCCTTCCAATCCTGATGCCACATTTCTCCTCATAGAGCCCAGCCTCCTGGATAATCTGTTTTGCATATAGATTGAAAAGGTTTAGAGATAGGATACATCCCTGGCATACACCCTTCACAATTTTGAACCATGCAGTGTTCATTGCTCTGTCTGACGACTGCCTCTTGGTTCAAGTATAGGTTTCACATTAGCACAATCAAATGTTCTGGGATTCCCATTCTTCTCAGAGTCAGCCACAGTTTGTTGTGATCCACACAGTCAAATGCCTTTGCATAGTCAATGAAGCACAGATAGATATTCTTCTGGCATTCTCTGCTTTCAGCCAAGATCCATCTAACATTAGCTATAATATCCCTAGTACCACAGCCTCTTCTAAACCCAGCCTGCATACCTGGCAGTTCTCTGTTGATATGCTGTCCCAGTTATTTTTGGGTAGTTTTCAGCAGAATCTTGCTTCCATGTTGTATTAATGATTTTTTCCATAATTTCCACACTTTGTTGGGTCACCTTTCTTTGGAATGGGAACAAATATAGATCTCTTCCAGTCAGTTGGCCAAGTGGTTGTTCTCCAGAGTTCTTGGCACAGCTTGGTGAGCACATCCAGGGTAGCATCTGTCTTCCTCTTTTTTTTTTTTAGGTTACATTAACTTCAAACTTCTTCAACTTTATCAGACAACTAACTATGTTCTCTTGTTTTGTTTCTGTGGTATTTAATTCATTCAGTGAAGCACAGTGATTAAGTAAGCTTGAGAAACACATAGTCCTAGTTTTTATGCTTATGGCGACATCTATAATTTCAACTACTATGTCTTTTTCTGTAATAGAGCCCAGCACTAAGTATCCTAGAGTATTGCTTACCGTGAGGCTCCAGGTTTGACTCCCAACATGTCCCAACTATCTTTGCTATTGCGAATCCTGCGAATGGTGTCTGCTTGTTCTTTGGTGAAACTAGCACTGTTATTTGTGATAGGACGTTTCCCGCCATTTTCACATAAATCTACTATGGAGACATAGAAGGTCTGAAAAACAAAGAAGATCCCATAGCAGAACTGATTTTATGGAAACAGGAATTCTTGTTAAGTATCAAGTCAAAGCCTTTTCAGGATTCAAGAACTCTTAACGGTATAAATAAAACAAATATGAACTTTAAAAGACATTTTCCTCTTATACTGCATATACTTATATATACACATACTTCATTTAGATAAGTACAAAACCAGAAAAAGCATAAAGAAAAAAAAAGGTAAGTGGTTTATAATTCTACACTCAAGATAACTTTACCTGAGTAAATTTCTAACAGTGTTCGAAAATCTCAAGTAGCCTTAAAAAGTTAAACATCGCAAGAACATGGAAATAGCCCAAATGTCCATCCACAATCAAATGGACTGAGAAATTGTGGCCTAGTAACACAATGGAATACTACGTGGCACTCAGGCACAATTTAAAAAACTGGGAGGGACTGGAAAGCATTCTGCTGAGTGAACTAACTCAGTCTCATAAGGATAAATACTGCATAAGATCATTACTGTAAAAATAGAAAGTTAACTAGTAAAACATGTATGAGGATCCAAGGGGGGGAGGGGTAGGAGAAGAAGGGTGAGGATGGGCAGAGGGAAATTACATTTTGATGGATGGAGGGAGAGGGTAAAGAAAATGGGACCAATCTGATGGGGACCTGAAAAGACTGGGTAATGGTAGGTATAGTGGTGATTAATTTTATAAAACACAATGTATGAGAATGATTGAATAAAACACAATGTGAATGAAGGGAAATAAGCACAATGTATATAAATTCTGTATGCAAACCAATATAAAAATTTTCTAAAAAGTATGTTAAACATAAAATTATCATAGGACCTAGCAAGTCTACACATAAGGAATTGAAAAATGTAATCAAACAAGTGTGTGTAAATATCGAAAGAAACACATTCACAATAGCTAAAGGTGGAAACAACCCAGATGTTCTTCAACTAATGAATGGAAGAACAATATGTGGTACATTTACATTTACATAAAAAAACCCCAAATCCAACATCCAACCCACTCATCGATTCTGATTTGCAGTGGGCCCATAAGGCAGTAAAACTGTCCCACAGGGTTTCCAAGGCAGTCATCTTTCATGGAAGCAGACCAGCACATCCTTCTCCCATGGAGTAGCTGGGAGATTTGAATTCATGACCCCTCTGCTAGCAGCTAAGTGCTAAACTACTATATCACCAGGATGTCTCACATGCCACCATCAAAAGGAAAGAAGTATTGATGTGTTCTACAATGTGGATGGACTATAAAAGTGTTATGCTAAGTTGAGAGAGATCAGGCACAAAATTATACATATGGCATAATTCCATTTATAGGAATGTCTAAAAAAGGTAAATCTACAAAGACAGAAAGTAATTGATGGTTGCTTTGAGCTGAGGAGAGAGGATAATAGGGAGTGAGAGCTTAATAGATGCAGGGCTTCCTTCTGAGTTGAGAAAACTAGATATGAGTGGTGGATGGCTAACATTTTGAATGGACTAAATGCCACTTTAAACTGAATAACTGTTCCATGTGAATTTTACCTCAACAGAAAATACAAATAGTAGTAAAAAAAATAAAATGAAAGCTGCATCTCCCTACCTCCCTACTCTTCAAGTTCCTCTCCTCAAGGTAATCTCACTGATAAAATTTTTTCGAGACTCCTTCTAGAAAAGTTTTCTATTAGTTTATTAGTACATATGCACATTAAAAATTTACATAAAATAACTTTTTTACATAATAATATATATTGGACTCTTGCTATACTTCAGACTGAGTCCTTCCTTCTGCATTTTTCTACACAGTTATGCTATAATTTTTTAATAGTTTCCCATTCTTGGACAACTCAGTTTCCAATATTTGCTACTACAAATAGTCCTTCAGTGACTATTTTGGGGGCATACGTCTCTACATAGTTGTAGAGGTTTTCCTTTAGGATGAATGCCTAAAAACAGAATTTCTGAGCAGATGTGCATTTTAAATTTTGATCTGACAACTGTCTTCCAAAAAGGTTGCACCAGTCGGTGACGAGCACCCATTTCCCTACACTGTCACCAGCACTGGATGGTCTCAGACATCTTAACTAAGCTTCCTCACATGATGTGCCTCACAGGACTGATTTGCATCTTTTAACAATAAATGAGACTATTCTTCATATGTTTTATTGAACTTTAAAAAAATTTATTTTATTATTTTTTTGTGTGTACCGACAAATTGGATCTGACTGGTACAGGAGGAGATTGCCCCTCCTTCTCCAGCAGAGCGTCTGGTGAATTCGAACCACATACCTCTGGGACTGCAGTGCAGTTTCTTGCCACTAAGCCACCAGAGCTCCCTGACCTTTTTGTTTTCTGAAAGCTGGCAGTTCAAATTGTTTGTTCCTTTTTCTGGTGGCTTGTAAATGCAAACTCTTATTTGATTCTGCTCGTGCCTTACACTCTGTGCACAATTATTACTGTTAAATGACTCTACTCAAAAATTAATTTCTTATTACTGCTCTTGTGTGTCAGGAAGTGTGAGGATGTCAGGCTAGAACAGGGTTCAGATCTTTTGTTCATAGGGTCACTATGAGTCATACTTGACTTGATAGCACCTAAAAACAATAACATGTCTTATACTCTGCACTATTATTAATGTTAAATGACTCCACTTAAACATTAATTTATTATACTAGTGCTGCCTTGAAAGTGACATATCTCTTCTTCTCTCAATTTCTTTTTTAATTTCTTCTTTTTCTAGTTCTTAGATATTCCTCCAGGTCTCTCTCCTAGATTCCTCTTTGTGCTCTCCAGAAACAGGTAATCGACTTGGAAATCTAACAAGGGGCCCTGACATATGAGAAAGCTTGTCAAAGAAAACCCATTAGAAATCAAGACAAAAGAAGCATTTCCTTGGTTTTAGTCTACCTTAACTGTATTCTCTCTGTTAAGTGAATAAGACAAAACCAAAAAACATTTTAACACAAAGTATCTCTTAAGCAGATAAACAAAGAAATTACTTGTTGAATGAAACCAATAGGAAAGCACTGAGTACTTCCTGGACAGTTTCATAACATTCCTCTTGTTAGCCTTCCACACCCCCCCCCCACCTCCCCACCCTGCTGTTGTTGTTTAGCTGCCCTATGTGCCAACTACAGCTCATAGGGATCCTATGAACAGCAGACCTAAACATTTCCCTCTCCTGCCCCATCCTCCAATCTCTGCCAGGCTCAAGCCCACTGCTGCAGTTACTCTCAATCCATGGCATTGAGAGTCTTCTTCTGGCCCTTGATTTTCCCCAGAATGATGTTTCTCTTTGTTGACTAATTTATCCATATTGTTGTTGTTTTGTGGTGTCGGGTCAGCACAGACCCATAGCTGACTCTCCAGCAGGCTTTAAGGACAGTTAATTGCACAGGAGAAGACTACCCATCCTCCTCCTGTGAAGAAGCTGGTGGATTTGAACCGCATGCGTTTGGGATTGCAGTGCAGCTCCTTACCTACCCAAACTTTACAGAAAAGGAGAAAAGCCACCTAAAAGAGTTCAGTGTTCACAGATCTTTGCTAGCGATGTCAGGGTGAGCTAAATCGAAATATAAGTGTTCACAGACTTCTGAGGACTAAGTTTTCATGGACAGCACACAAGCTTAGAGAAGATTCACTGAAGTCGAAAGCTTTGGGTTTAAATTTCATGTCTGAGTTATAGCCACGATGGTGTAACAGGTACTAGACCAGACTACCTGCAATAACTTACAGAAAACATTTATGACGCAACTATTTTCAGGCAGCAGATGACAGTTTGTGCATGACTTGAATCCCTGAGCAGTAAAGTCCACAATCACCTGGTTCTCTGCCTATAGTTTTGTGACCATGTCAGGAAGCTGGAGTGCAAGCAGGCACAAAGTTACACTGAGTTAAGGAAGAAGCAGAGACCAGAGCTTGAATCTGATGGGGCTACAATGTTCTGAGCAGCACACAGGAGAGAGAGAGCATGAAGGAGCGCGGTGCAGAGTTGGGGCCCCCAAAATCCATGTGAGCGCTCCTTACCAGTGTTTTCTGAGGGTTGGGCCATACAAGCACAGGGAGAGATCATGGAAGGCTTACTAGCTAGCAGCTGCAAGGGAGTTTAAAAAACAGACCACTATTCTAGAAGTTAAGTGGTGCTAGGGAAGAATTTTGCTTTGCCAGTGTGGAGAAATTGCTTTAACACTTCATTAAAACTCTTGGCATCTAGCTGAGATACCAGAAAGGCTGTACCCCTTAGGAATTAGGTTTGTCCTTATAAAACCTAAAACCAAGAGCCAACAGAATCTGCAAAAGAGAGTTTGGAGGCAGAGACCTTCCAAAATCTAAAAGCTTGGGGAAAAGAGAAGATGCCCTTGTGGCACGATGGGTTAAACACAGGCTGCTCACTGAGAGGTCCGAGACTGGAAACACCAGCATAGGAAAGAGATGAGGCTGTGAGCTCCTCTAAAGAGTTACAGACTTAGAAACCCTATTGGGCAGTTCTACAGGTCACAAAAAGTTAGTATTGACTAGGTAGCAGTGAGCTGGCTGGTTGGTTGATTGGGCTGGGAAAAACAATGGGCTTGCTTTGTTATTGCTGTTCTTGCTAGGTGCCATTGAGTTGACCACAATGCATAGCCACCCCTATAAAAAAACAGGTCAAAATCCTGCCCCATTCTGTGCCATCCTCACGATCTGTCATGCTCAAGCCCGCTCTTGTAGTTACGGTCGTCAATCCATCTCCTCGAGGACCTTCCTCTCTTTAAATGACTCCATCTTTCCCAGCATGAAGGCTTTTCCAAAGACTGACCTCTCCTGACAATATCCCCAGAGTGAGATGAAGTTCTACCACCCTCTCCTCTAAGGGGCACCCTGGTTGCACTTCCTCCAAGACCGATTTGTTTTGTTTTGTTATTTTGGCAGTGCACGGGATAGTGAGTACTTTTTGCCAGCACCACAATTAAAATTCATTTAATCTTTACTCAGTGTCTGACTTTCAGATGCATAAGAAGTAACTGGTAATACCACGGCTTGGAGATGGCACACCCTAGTCTTTAAACTGATATTGTTGCTCTTTAGAACTTTGGAGAGGTCCTCAACAGCAGATTCTCTCAATGCAACACAGCTTTTGATTTTTGACTGCTGCTACCAATCCAAGTAAAATTAAATCATTGACAGCTTCAATCTTTTCTCCATCTATCATGATGTTGCCTATTGGTCCACAGTGAAGACTTTCGCTTTCTAAACACTGAGATGTAATACATATTGAAGGTTATATAGTCTTTGATATTCTTCAGTAAGTGCCTGAAAGTTTCCACTCTTACTGCAAACCAGGTTATAGATCATCTGTATATTGCAGACTACTTATGATGCATCAGAGAGCTGGACAATGACTAAGGATGACAGAAGAAAAATTGATACCTTTGAGGTGTGGTGCTGGAGAAGAGTCATGAACATACATACCATGGACCACCACGAAAACAAATCGGTCTGTATTGGAGAGGGTGAAATCAAGTTTCTCCTTGGAGGCTTTTGAAGCTCTGTCTCACACACTTTGGGCATGTGGCCAAGAGGGACTGACTCTCAGAGAAGGACATCATGCTCAGAGGAGTGAACGGACAGCACAGGAGAGGAAGACCCTGGATGAGATGGATTGATACAGTGACTGGGGCAATGAGGATAGGTGTGTTGGAGTCAGTGAGACTGGCTCAGGACAGGGCAAGGTTCGCTGTGGGTCTCAGGCAAATCAACGGCACATAACAACTAGAACAAGGCAGATTATTATCAGTCTTCTCCTAATTTTGATGTCACATTCTTCTTCATATAGTCTAGCTTCTTGAACAATTTACTCAGTATACAGATTGAATAGACATGGAGAAAGGAGACCTGATGCACATCTTTCTTGATTTTAAACCTTCAGTGTTCCCTTGTTGCTTGGACAAAGGCTTTGGTCTATGTATACTGTTACTGTCTTGTAGATGCTGTTATGTCAGGACCAATTCATAGTTGATCTTCCAACTCATAGCTGGTCTTCGATCATTAGTGTTCAATGCATCAAATCTATTTTGAGATGGTTTTTAAATTCAATTGGGATAGACTCAAGGTCCATTTTGATTCTTGTGGACTTGATTTGATTTTCATCAACTTCAATTTGAACTTGTTCATGAGTAACTGGTGATCTGTTTCACAGTTAGCCCCTGGCCTTGTATTGCTGATTTGGAATTTCTCCAACGCCTTTTTCCACAGATGTAGTCAATCTGATTTTTCATCAGGTGTGGTCCTTGTAGAGTTGACATTTTATGGGTTGGGTTTTTTTTAAATAAGGTAACTGTAATCAGTAAATCATAAATCCCTTACTATTTAAGGAAAAAAAAAAAAGAAGCCTACACAAGTTAAATGTAATCTGTAATCTGCCAGTAATTTAACTGCAGGTAACACAAGAATTATTATCAAGCTTCCGAGGAAGAGAATTAGAAGTCTCTACAATGTATTATTCTAGTGCCAGTTGATAATCATTAATCATACAAAGAAGAAAATGTGATTCTTACCAGGAGTTTTTAAGGTAACCAGAAGTCAACAGAAATTGAGATGGCTCAGATGTTGGACTTAATAGAAAAGACTTTAAAGCAACTATTACAAATACATTCAAACTATAAAAGGAAAAATATTCAAAGAATTAAAGAAAAGAGAACTGTTTAAAAGGGTTATGTGATTAGGTATTACTATCATGACAGGAGTCCAGACTGAAGACAGCATAGTGGAGTGGACTTGGAGGGAGGGATTGTATAACAATGAAAGAATTTTACTTTTCAAAGAGAAGAGCGAATTGGGGGGAGGGTTGTGCAGGGAGAAAAGTGCAACAATGAATGAATGGAAATCCAAAGTCTCTGCAAACTTTCATTAAAATTAATTAAGAAAAATAAAATCTCAATGAGTAAGAACCAGGAAATTGCACAGATGAACCATATTCAAATTCTAGACCTGCAGAGTACTGAAATGAAAATTTCACTATGTTTAACCGCAAACTGTTAGTGAAATTATAAACAGAGCAGCAGAGACAATCCAATTGGAAAATCTAAGACACTAAAAGGAAGGACATCAACAGGGCCTCAGAGATTGTGGGATAAAACAAAATGGAACAACATACATGCAACGAGTTCCTACAAAAGGAGAGAGTGAACCTGGTAAAGAAAAACAAGTATTTGAAAAAATAACAGTTAAAGACAAAGAATGTTTGAAGAAGTAACAGTCAAAGACTTCCAAAACTACATTGGGCAAGTCCACTGTCAGGGACTTTTTCAAAATGCTGACGAGCAATGATGTCAGTTTGAAGACTAAAGGGTGCCTGTTTCAGGCCATGGTTTCCTCAATCACCTGCATCAGAGAGCTGGACAATGAAGAAGGATGACAGAAGAAGAATTGATGCCTTTGAGCTGTGGTGTTGGAGAAGAGCACTGAACACACCATGGACGGCCAAAAGAACAAACAAATATGCTTGGAAAAGTTGTAGCTGGAGTGCTCCTTGGAGGCAAAGATGGCAAAGCTTTGTCTTGGAAAGGGATATCATGCTTGGAAAGACGAAGGGTCAGTGAAGGAAAGGAAGATCCTCAATGAGATTAACTGACACAGTGACTTTAACAATGGGCTCTAGTAATGTCAGAGATGATGAGGATGGCACAGAAGAGGGCAGGGCTCAGGGAGGCTGTTTATAGGGTCACTGTCTGTCATGCTGGATTTGATGGCACCTAACAATAACCAATCCAATAAACTCTTACATAGGATAAGCATAAGAAAACCACGCTCAGGCACATCGTAGTAAAAATGCTAAAACCAAAGAGAAAGAAACTTTTGAAAGGAGCTAGAAAGGAGGAGGGATATATTATGAACATGGGAATGAAAAAGAGAAAGACACCTGATGAGGCCAGAAGACCATGGCCTATTATCTTTAAAGTACTGAAAGAAACTAAATCTTCAACTACTATCTTATGCCCCTTAACAAATCACTTTATTAATCTTAGCCTCAGTATCTTTATGTATGAAATAAAAATAATAATCAATAGGCAGTGCAAATCTACCAGCTGCTCCTTGGGAGAAAGAAGGGCAATCTCCTCGTGTGTGATTTATAGCCTTTGAAAACCCAGTGGAAGGTGATTGGCGAGGAGTCAGTTTCAACTCAACAGCAGTAAGGTTGTGTTGTTTTTTTAACGTTGCTCTTATGAGTCTCACATGAAAGGTGTAAAATTATCCAGAACTATCAAATACTATCAAAATTGTTGTCATGATTAGTGCACATATATTGGTACAACCTCACACTGATCTAAGAACTTAAAAAAAAAAGAGTAAGGCAAATTAACATCAACCTTATTTGGTCCTGAAACAGAAGTTACTCATGCCCTCTTCAACCTGTCAGCTAAGGATGAAACCTGTCTTCTAGAAGGAGGGGTGACATCTTGTGAGAAGGAAATTTAGCAAAAAAGATGGAATAAAGTCCCACTCGGTAATTAAGAACAACTCTTCAAAGTATGGCTACATTATTTAAAATGTTAAAAAAATTCCCAAAATATCAGATGTATTCATAAGAAAAATGCATTATTCATGCTACCACACTTTTTCTTCCAAAAGTAGGTATAATTAAGAGATGACTTTATAACTTATTATTTCAAATAACCTTCATTCCCTAATATCATTCATAATTAATAGTTTTAAAAGAGGACTATCTAATGAAGTTGGAATGTGAGTTCACCCTTTTCTTGTTTGTTTGATTGGCGAGATTTAATTTTTATGTGTGAATGGCTGGGTCCTACAATGACAGCCTTCTATTAATTCTCTAATTGTACCTTTGTGGGCTACAATGTAGGACTACATAAGCTTTGGCAAGAAAATTTGGCCCAAATTATGCTTCCATTTGATTAGGAATACATAAACATCATTAGCCAAAGTGGTTTTAAAGAGCATCTTTGTCTTACTTTGTTGTTGTTTTGCTGCTGATCTGATACTGCCTCATAGCTGCCTCTCCCGTGAGTTGTCAGAGGCTGTCAACTGAACAGGAGGAGACTATCCAGCTTTCTCCTACAGAGAAGGTGATGGATTCAAAATACCCGCCTTTGGGTTAGCAGAGTAACTCCTTACTCTCCAGACCCCCAGAGCTCTGACCTACTTTAGTGGATGATGTTTGTTCTTAAACTTGAGAATCATCAGAATTACCTGGAGAGATTTTCTAAAAGTATCCTGACTCCATCACAATTTTCAACTCTTAGTAGGCCAAGAACCCAGAAATCTATTTTTTAAAATCTCTCCAGGTAATTTTAATGACCATCCAGGTTTGGAAACTATTGGTTTCTAAACAGATGACAGAAACAAAACACTTAACTCTCCAACTCCTGAAAAGAAAGAGCTTATTTTAACGGGAATAAATTATCTGCTATGTTTTTGTTTCTCACTGTTGTTGTATACTGTAGAGTCGGAACCAACCCATAGCTGACCCTCTGGTGGGTTTTCAGAGGCAGTTAATTGCACGGGAGGAGACTGCCCATCCTTCTCTTGCGGTGCAGCTGATGGCCTTGAACCATGTGCTTTTAGGACTGCAGGACAACTTCTTGCTACTAGGCCACCGGATTGTTTCTCATTATTCAAACGAAAATTCAGTATGGTCAGTCTCTCTATGAATCCTAAAATGACAAAAAGCTAGTTACCTGGAACATCTCATTAATTCCTTCTCCAGTTTGTGCAGAAGTTTCAAAGTACAGGAATCCTTTGCTTTCAGCCCAAAGACGCCCTTCACTTTCGTCTACACAGCGGTGCTTGGTACAATCAATCTGAAACAGAAAGTTGGGGGACAGAGAGAAGACTTTAATGTTGTCCTATCAGAACAGGCCCAATGACGGTTTTAATCTATCCTTTGCTGAGGCAAGGATCAAAAATACTCGTGTTGAACATACACAGATTTTCTGTAGCAAAAGGCCTGGAACCTGCTACGGCACTTTCACCTTTTCCTACAGAAGTGAGCTGCTACTTCTATCTGTGACAGCTGGCCTTATAAGATTTGCCACACTCACATGGCCTGCTTCTCATACCTAACCCCAGTCCACCTAATTATGTCCCCCTTTGATCATGTCAGAGCATGATTCTTAGAGGTTATCTCTCCTGTTCAGTTACCAATATTCTTTCCTTAATATAATACTAGAGAAAAATCCAGGTTTTAGGGTGTTTTTGGTCGTTACTGTCTTAGGGATACATGTTTCAAAAAAACCCCTCTTGATACTTACAATACAGAATGGGGAATTTTCTTCTTCTTTTTAATTTTTTTTCCCCCTCTAAAATACTGAAAATTGATCATGACATTTCCAAACCAGTTACCTTGTTAGCACAAACTACAAATACGACATTTTCCATATTTCCATGAGGTCCAAGTTCCTGCTTCATTTCTGCCAGCCAGGCATCAAGGGCGTCAAAGGAGTCTTTCTGCCCAACATCGTAAACCAGGATCACACCTTGAGTGTCCTTGTAAAACTCATTGCGAACCTTCAGAGAAAAGAACAGATGCACAACATACAGGGACCGGGATTTTTTAAAAATGCACACCATTGTCATTAGTTAACAAAGTATGTTCTTTGTTAACTGTATTCACACTATCTGGCATTGTATCTCTGTATCTACGGTATTTCATTATCAAAGTAAGAGGTTGGCAAGATTTAAATAAATGTATCTGTACATTAGTGTTTATAATAGAAGTATGGCCCACTGCCCTACTCCCCTCATCTCTAGTTTGACTCTTCAGAGGTAAGTAATTTTTGCTTTTTAGCAGACCTTAAAAGAACGCAAATTATATAGAAAGTAAAGCTCTTCTTAGCAGAAACTAGGAAGGTGTTTGTTGCTGTTGTTATGTACTGTTGGAAGGTGAGGAAACAATTAAAAATAATTTAAAGCAAAAATGACACATTCATCAGCAAGGGCTACCGTCACACATATTAGTTCACCAGAGTAACTTCCCTGAGAATGCTAAGCAGAGGTTCCCCGATTCTTGGGTGTGTATGCCAGCTTTGGAATTCTAAACTCAAGAGCCTCAACATGTGTAATGGGAACAAGCACAGGCTCTAGAACAGAGAGATCTGAGTCAACACTTACTTACTAGTTGTGTGATCACGGACAAGTCATTTAACCTCTCTGCATATCAGTTTCCTCATCTGTAAAATGGGGATAACACTACTTACTGTGAGGATTACATGAGATCATGAAGGCAAAGCCCCTAGCTTGGTGCCAAGAAAGCAAAGCACATTTGAGCAGCTTTCCCCTTGTATTCATTCTTGCTGGCCTCCTTTAATGTTTTTATTAGATATGGCTATCACTGCTAGGCCTTATATACATTTCTAGAAAGGTAGCACAAGTACAGGGCACATTAAAGAAGCAGAGTCAATGAGAGGTTGAGTGGGTGAGCAACATCTTTGACAGACTAGGAGTTTTTAGGTCAAAAAGCTAGTGAGAATCTTGGGATGATGCATTATATACTCTTTCCATGAAATTCTAGTTTGTACTAAGACTTACATTTTTACACTGGATGTGGAGTAAGAAAGACAAACATCTCACACACACCAGATACGGAGTATGTATGGATCAGTTTCTAAGCATAGAGAAATGCACCACGTTTCTATTGGTGTTCAGAAACCTAAGAAGCCATCTTCTAAAATTAAAACTAATAAGATTAAGAATTATAAACAATGTACACCAGTTATCTTTTCCTTTCAGTAATTATAAAGTAGTTAACAATGAGGACTCTCAATTATTTCCTGAAATGCTTGCTGCCTTCACTCTCAGGTCCTTAAATTACTTGTCATTCATGATTTGTTCTTTACTACTCTCTACCCAAATTACCCTATCATGGATTAAATTGTTGTCCTCCTAATACATGTGTCAACTTGGCTGGGTCATGAGTCTTGGTGGTTTGGCAGTTCAGTAATGATGTAATTTGACAGATATGTAATGATGTACTCACTCCCATGATGTGATCTGATGGTAGGATCCAATCAGTTGTAAGGGAATTAGGACAGGATGCAACACTTTAACTCAGGTCACAGGCCTGATGCAATGTAAGGGGTCGTTTCCCTGGAGTGCTACCCACATTAATCTTTTATTTTACAAGAGATAAGAGGAAAGAGAAGTAGACAGAGAGGGAGGACCTCAGGATCACCAATAAAGAAGAGCCAGGAGTGGAGTGTGCTCCTGGAGCACAGGGGTCCTGCACTGAGAACCTCCTCTGCCCATGGGAAGTACTAGTAATACGATGACATGTGGAAACCTCCATGGGGCACTAAACCCAAAGATGTTGGCAGACACAAGGACCTTCCCTCAAGGGTGACAGTGAAAGTTGCTCCCGAGAGTGGACACCCTAAATTCAGACTTCTAGCTTCCCAACTTATGAGAGAATAAATTTTTGTTTGTGAAATTTCTGTTACAGCAACAGGAAGTTTCGAAGATATCCCTGAAATCCTCCCATAGGCTCTTCCTTTAAAAAAAAAAAATCCTTCTTCTCCACTTGGCACTTGCACAGTTTCAACCTGGAGAAGCTGCAAAGACGTGCACTTTCATACCTGCTTTCCCATTTAGCTCTATTTCCAATTAAGTCCTTCACCTGAATGTCCTATTGGAATCACAAACTCAATATGTACAAGAGAAAACCTATCAACTTCTTCCCCCTAAACTTTTCCTTCTCTTCAATGTTTCTTGATGAAAGTGGCATACCATTCCCCAAGTCATGTAGGTAGAAAGCCTGGTGTTCACGTTTGTTGCTTTCCTCTCTTTTGCTGAACAGGTTCACACTGCCCTGTGGGGGTCACTTCTGCCACGGTGTTTGCTCCTGCCACTTCCTTTTACTTTTCACTGGCAACATAATCTCCTGATTGCATTACTTCAAGAGTCTTTTATATAATCTCTTTAGCAACATCATACACTGAATACTTAACTTTTTAAAGATCATGTTCTTTTCATTGCTCAAAAATTGTTTCTCCACTACCATTAAAGGACATAAAATGCTTTTATTCTGTTCTCCACTAACCTTCCCTTATCCTATTATCCTCTTATTTAAATTGGATAATCTCTCATTCCTTGTGCTTTCCTAACACAGAAATGGTTTTCAGGGGTACATCTCTGAGGAAGTTTCTTCTAATGTTCACCATCGTCCCCTGCTGTCCCTAAACTTAATAATCATGCTCACTCTCTCAGAATGCCACATTTCACAGTTCTAATTGTGTTTATTTGAAGCTTAACATCAAGAAGACAAACTATTCTCTCTCTCTTGGAATGTTGTATTTCATAGTTCTAACTGTGTTTACCTGAAGCTCAACATCAAGAAGACAAAGATTCTTACCACTGGGCCAACTGGCGGCACCATGATGGATAGACAAGAAAATGAGGTTGTTAATAGTTACAGCTTGCTCGGCTCCACAACCAACACTTGCATTGCAAAAATCTGCTGTCAGGGACCTCTCCAGAGTGCTGAAAAGCAACGATGTCACTCTAGAGACTAAGGACCTAATCCAGGTCATGGTTTTCGCAATTACTTGTTATGCTTCAGAGAGTTGGACAATGACTTAAGGTGAAAGAAGAAGAATCAATGTCTTTGAATTGTGACGCTGGAGAAGAGTCTTAAACATACTATGGACTGTCAAAAGCCAAACAAATCTGTCTTAGAGAGGGTGAAACTAAATTTCTCCTTGGAGTCTAGGATATTGAAGCTCCGTCTTACATACTTTGGGCATGTGGGGATGGTCCTTGGAGAAGGACATCGTGCTTGGAAGGGTGGAGGGATTGTGCAGGAGAGGAAGAGCCCGGATAAGATGGATTGATACAGTTACTGGGGCAATGGAAGTTGGTGTGTCAGAATTAGGAATACAGGCTCAGGCAGGGAAGAGTTCAAAAGTGCTGTACATAGGGTCGCGATGGGTCGCAGGCAACTCAATGGCACATAACAACAAACAACAACAACTGCGCTTCTATCACTTAGTAGAATAACCAGTCATGGATCTTGATGTACCCCTCTTGGTGTTACCCAAAGGGCCTAGCAGATGGAAGAAGTGAAGCATATTTGTTTATTTTAATGGCATGATGTGCTACAGCAGAGGACGTGAACAAAGGGGACAAGAAAGCATTTTCAAATATAAGTCATGCTGTCCAGTGGATGATTTATATGCAAAAGTAGGCTTAAACAAGTTCAATGGACTTCTCTTTCAAGGAGCATGTGTTAAAAATTGGGCTCAGTAACTAATAACCCATGTAAATGTAACTCAGTTATTTTCTTACCCCATGTCAGCTTATTCATCTGAAAAACGAAAGCAGATGTTAGAGTGGCCTGCTGAAGTTCTACTATTACAGTCATCCAAAAATGTTTTCCAGGATTAATTCTGAAAGGCTAACTGTATTCAAAGTTTAATTAAATAGGATGCTAAGAAATCCGAGATTCTTTAATTCTTAAAGCAGCAGAGATAGGAAGCTGTTTAGCTGTGGTTTTGGAGCAAGCTGTTGGTTTAATACCACTCAGAAAATTGTAAAAATCAAGCTCCTAACTCACACCAACTTTCAGAAGAATTTAGGTGTGTGAATCAATGAAGCAAGACCAGGTAGGGGCTGGTGGTAAGATACTGGCCTCACCATTTCCCTTTGACACTTTTCCTTTGATACTTCTATTTTTACGAGTTGTTAATTAAAAATGATTGCAATCTCAGGTTGCAATAATAGGAGTCTAGGGTGTAACAACAGACAGTAACAGCAACACTCAAGTGTTTTCACTAGAGCACATCTAGAGTATTACGTTCAGTTCTCACTTCCCTATCGGACACAATGCTGTTGACTAGAAATGCTGATAGACCCAGAAGTAGCAGGAGTAAGAAATATTTCACTTGGAGAGCAGAGAACTGAAAAATAAGGAAAGGACTCTCTTACAGATGCGCATAATTAATCAATGATGTTTCCAAAACAAGGCTGGAATCAGTGAGGAAAGTCAAAGGAAGGCAGCCTTTGAAAGAGAGAAGCTGCTGGAGTTTTTAACTCTGTAGAGGATTATCTCATGAAGTTGTAAGATCCTATCACAGATAGTCATCAAACTCTTGCAGTCTACCCGACTCTATACTCCCCAATGGAGTATATTTTCCTAGTCTCCTATCAACCTATTTAACTCTTACTTATCCATCGGTTTTTCAGGTTTAAACATTACATCTTTCAATAAAACTTCCTGATCTCTTAGGTAATTTAGGGTTGGGTAGTAAGCATTCTCAAGCATCTCGTCATCTGGTTGACGTCTGTCATCTCTGACATGTATGTTAAATGAAGGCAAGGCACTGTGTATGTCAGACGTGTACAGTCTGAAGAGGAAGCTCGGGTGGTCCAGAGGGCAAGGAGTTGCACTGCCAACCCAAAGGCAGGTGGTCTGAATTCACCAGATGCTCCATGGGAAAAAGCTAGGTAATCTTCTTCTGAGTGATTTACAGCTTCCGAAAATCTGCTGATAGTCCGGTATGAGTTGATTCCAACTT